TCAATGGAGCGTAAATTTTTATTATTATTATTATTATTATTATTATTATTATTATTATTATTATTATTATTATTATTATTATTATTATTATTATTATTATTATTATTATTATTATTATTATTATTATTAGCTTTATTCAACATTTTATTTTTGGTACAACATAGAATTCTCAGCATAAAGTATTTCAACAAGTTTTCTTTTCTTATACCTTGATCGATTTTGACGATAAATTTTAAATGATGACCAGTTAGATGTTAGAAGTTCGGTAATCCACATTTGATTAATGTTCATTCGTTTCAATGCATATTGCCGTCCAGCTTGATGTCGCTGATTGTACCTTTTTGTATTCCGTATAGCGAAATGTTGTAAACTTTTCATAAACGCGTCTGAACAGATTGTGTGCACAATAGACATAATGATGTGCTAAAACAAACAATAAAACAGATAACTTGATGAAATATCTAGATTGGAGGAACAGGTAGCCCAGATATTCAAGCAGGCCGCCTTTAGGATTGTAATTATGCCTTTCTGATGAATGCTAACTGTTACAAAACCTATGTTCAAAGTTTCTTGATGAAAAAAGGTGTTTGACTTTAATGATCACGCACAGTTTATCTCTTGTTTAGAAAATAATTATCAACTATTTGAATCTAAGATTAATTTTTATAATACTCAATTCATTTCATAAAATTGAATTCAGTTTTGTACTTTTTTTTCTCTACAAGTTTCCAAGCATCTTTCTTTATGTTGTTGTTGTTGTTGTTGATGATGATGATGATGATGATGATGATGATGATGATGATAATGATAATCTGGAATGCTTTTTGGATCACTTTCAAATTGATCATTTAGTTAGTTCATATATGATTCTTTTGTTGAGATTTAACTTGTTTCAATTAAATCTTTTCTTAATGTTTAAGTATGTTTCTTTATTGGATTGTATTGATCCATTGTGACCTTGTTGTCGAATGAATATTTTTATGCAAGCAGAGAGAGAAAAAGAGTTGATGTATACAAAGATAAAGAGATACACTTTCTTCTATGTGAACTATGACATTTAAGACCACCTACTGTTATAGAAAGAGAGAGAGAGAGAAAAAAATTTCCTCAGGTCAAGTTTACTGTATCCTCCAATCATCCACCTATACACATCCCACTTCCTTATATTCTTTGTTATGTCCACTTATTGTTATCTTTGCTTTATTTATTTTTCTTGTTGTTTGTCTTTGCTTTATTATATATACAGATTATATGTATATATTTGATTGTTGCACTATTTATTGACTACATCAGTAAGACTAGAAGTAGTAACTTTCCTTTGTTGTCTGAACTGTTGGTTGTATTTGAACCTTGTGTTTACTTATTAAATCAAGAGAATGAGAGAGAGAGAGAAAGAGAAAGAGTAAGGTATCCAGATGAATTAGGATAGACATGGATTTTAATCAATTTGTTAAAATCTCGTCTGGGGCAGAATAATGATAATCATTTATGGGAATAAAATATTGTTTTGTCTATGTATACACATGAACGAACATGCAATAAAGGTAAATTAGAGAAACGTGATTGTTGTTTTGTTTTTCTTCTTCCATTAAAGGATTCATGTTACAGTATCTTGTGTTCACCTTTTTTTTTATTGTTTTATTGTAGTCTGGTATGTTATTTATGAAACTTAGAAAATAAAACCCCATGATAGCAATCATAATAAGTAATAATAGTCGGTAGATTTTAAGGTGATACTTTCTATGTCTGATATCAGATGAGACAATTAAATACAATTTTGATTACATCACATTATTTACCTGTTCCTTATTTAGTAATAAAAAAATAATCTTGACATAGAATAGCCAATATTGTAACAATACCTTATATTATATCCAGTTTATTATTATTTCATTACCAGTTACAGATACGTGTATTTTTCTTTCTGCCTCATGTTATTTTTGAGAACTAGTTAAAAGTACCTAATCGCTCCTTCTGATCTGAGCCATGTTGGTAGATGCCGACTACTTGATTGGGGTCCGTGTGACTATTGTAACCAATGGTTGGAGATTCTGAGTGACATAGCTCAGAATCGATCACAATGGCGTCAGTGTATACACTCTTTGTCTTCCCCTAAACTAAGAAATTAAAATCGCTTCATATCTTTCTTTCTACGAACTAATTCTTTTTTCTTGTACTATATCCTTATATGCAATGTTTCTTTTATATATTACCAACATTGAATTAATTACTTCTATGAATCTGGTGTTCATCATGTTGTGCTAATGAGGTATGGCAACTTGAACCGATGTATATATGTGCCTGATCCTACGTTGTAACTGACTGACCCAATTGCTCAAAACTAAATAGCTAGAACAAGATTCGAACCTCTAACTGTAGTAGTTGAAACTTAACTACTAAATCATATCACTATGCATATTTAATTTGTTATTTTTCAAAAGAATTTATATAAAATTTTGGTCTAGGTTGTCAAGTGAAATGTTGGATTCATTTAAAATTTAATTAATGAAATCTTACTCATATAAGTATTGTCCATAATGTTTTATATATAATGGAGTCCAGTTTTACAATTATGTTTTTTATATATCGCTAGATTTGATGCATGAACTTGCTTGTAATAGTTTTCCTAAGTAACAGACTAATTTCTAGTTAACTTATCGAGTTAATAATATCAGTGTTATCATTAATTTTCATGAATTGAATGTTGTATACTATTGGTTACACCGAGAAATGGGGGGGTAGTGGTTAAATGATTCAACTTTCAAGTGATATGTTGTAAGTTCGAGTCCCCACTCCACATTGATACTGGAAACTGGTTACTATCATTTCACCTCGCACAAATTATATATATATATATATATATATATATATAATCATTTTCCGTAGATTCATTCTTATTGCTTGCTGTTACTGTGGTTATTTCAGAGGTGATAAATGGTAATGCATAGGAAGAGAGAATTGTTGATTAATAATTTGTCCTAGTTATTGGTTAAATCATTAAAAAACGTAAATGAACCAAGAAATGAATTTTACTCATCTTAATTTGAATTTATCTATACTATATATAGATGTTATAATTATGTATATTTCTCCCTTCTACTTCCCATTACTTTTGTTTGATCTTATCCCCATTTTACAACTCTCTATACCACCTAATCACATCCATACATCCAATGTATGTTGGCGTGCGTGCATTGACATGGGTTCGCATCCTGGATATATATACATATATATAACGCTTCTTTTAATTGTGTTTACTGTTTACCCATTATTATTATTAACTGTAATAAATAGTACTAGTGTGTTTACCTCATTGTTCCCTTCTTAGCCCATTCACCATTATTATTATTATTATTATTATTAATTATGGTCTTATATCCATCCATCTAGTGGTTGATTCATTCGTTTACAGCAATCTCTATCATATTGCCCTTCAATTTTTTCTGTTTTTCTCTATTGAAAATTTTCTCTATGGAGTTGAAAAGGCGTTTTTTTCGTTCGTTTGTTCGTTTCTGCTTATACTGTTCTTATTTATTTGTTTATTTACTGCTATTTTGTTCTAAAAAATTGTTTACAAATGAAGAGACAGTAATAGAGAGAAAAAAAGTATCAGTTAGTAGTTAGGATGGAAGAACAGCAGAAATAAACGTGATATAGTTTTCCTTGTGTGTGTGTGTGTGCGTTAGTGTATGGTAGGATCATTCATTCACATGCGTTCTTTTCTCTTTAGCCTTGACTTTAAAAAGAATCTGACCTACTGTATATATTAGTTGGGAGATGTATGTCTGTGCATGTGTACTTTACGTTACTATGTGTGTATGAGTGGTAGATATTGTTTATTTCTATTTATTCTCTGATTAATTTGTTTTTTTGTTCGTTTTCATTTTTCTAGGCTGTTTAATCAGTAAATAAATATACATTTTGTTTGTTCATTGAATTAAACTGCATTACACACTATGTGCCTTAGATATGTTTAAAAGCCAGTGTTTCTTCATCTGGTTTGTGATGTTTACATTATCATTTAGATTTGTAGCTGTTGTTTATCTGTGTATATTTTCGGGATATCAGAAAGACAGGGCTATTAAATGGTGACTATCATGGTATATCGCTGGAGTTAGAAATGTGAACTCGTTACACTCCAGTTCAGTCGTATTTATACGACACTTGATAAGTTTCAAGTTAAGACAAAACATTCATTCAGTGTTCTATACACGTTTCTTAGATTATTTCCCAGTCTATGACAGAAATTAACAGTCGTTGCAAAAGAGATCTGTATATAAGTGTTGTTAATAATCAGATATGATAGAATTTGTTTCAGATTGTTTTGCATTTCTTTGGGTAGTTCATACCGATTATTATTATTAGTGAAAAAGTTAATTAATACCTCGTTTTTAAATTCTGATGCTGAGGTATAGCATTTCTCTGTCTATCATACTCTCTACTACTTGATGTTCTCAAACTTCTTAGAATAGTCTCAGTAGTTGAATAGAGCACAGTTCATTACTTTGAATAAAATCCAGTAAAAAGAAAACAGTACAATACATAGACCCTTACAAATGTTTTTCAACGTACTGCAAAAACGGATTATTATACTCAGATGCAGATAGGTTTGTGTGCTTTACATTTTTCAAAGTAAATTTTCTGTAAAACAAAATGACTTTATGATGTCAGTCAGTGGGTTCATCAGTAAAGCACCTGACTTTTTGACCATTGGATTTCAGGTTTAAATCCTACTTTATACACTTCAGTTTGACATCCCGGATATTATTATTATTAGCAGCAGCTTTCTTTACTCCTCGAAGTGTGGTGTAATCTCGGGTGAACAAACATTGTACACTAAGTAATTAAATAGTATGGCGATTCTTTTCATCTTGATCAATAATTAAAGTCAGTAGTTAATATGACTGGAATTACTAATTTTAAGTAATCTACAATTTGATCAAGTTATTTGTTTGATAAATCACCATATTTAAATGATTTCAAATTATTCTTATTTTAAGGACGTAATATGTGGACCGAATTCCGGACAAATTCCAATTGAACAACAATCTGGGAATATGGAAATGATGTTGTTAGTTAATTCTCGTCATTCTGGTACACCAAAAAGTAGTGGTGAACCCTTTCCTAGTGGTACTGTCAGTCCAAGTGTATCCTGTTCCATCTCAAATCTTGGAAGTCGTACAGGTTTGAATTGCAATACAAATTATGGTCCAATTAGTAATTATGGGAACAGTGCTAATACGAATAAACCGATGAATCATCCATATTTCAATTCATCCGATATGATGGGACCAAATCCAGATTCTATTACTATGAGGACAACTCCTAGTAGTACTCCATGCACACAGCATTTAACTTCTGCTAGTTTAGCTAGTTTAGCACGATTATCTCAAATGTCTGGACCTGAAGGTCCGTACATTCCATCGTGTTCAGCCTCATTTTATAATCCAACCATTGGGAATAGTCTTGGATCAATGCCTGGTCATGCTGTTCACTCAAATCGTAGTGGATCTTTACCTTCCTTTCATCTAGATGGAAGTCCCGTTATACCAACGCCACCTCAAGGAGCACATCATATTATATCTCAAGGTGCACGCAATCATAACTCAAGTCCTGGAAATTGTGGCTCGAAATCACATTTATGCAATCCTAACCAATCATTATCATCAAATATGACTCCTAATAATTGTAATTTACCTCATTCTTTATCATCCCAAACTATTCCAATAAATTCTAAATTTAATTCCCAAGGCTATCCCCATACAAATCCACAGCTTCAACCAACATTACAACAACCACCACAAAATCCTATGGGCACTGTCACTAATTGTGGTTCTTCACTTCCTTCTCCAGTTCCCAATTTACCAACACCATCTCAGCAGCAGCCTCCTTCGATTCAAGTAAGTACCATACTTTTGCTCTGTCTTTTTATACTTGGTGTTTTTTTGCGGAGATCGTTCAGTCTGAGAATAGTTTTTACTCTAAAGTGAAACTAACCAGGTTTTTTCTAAACTTGTCCCTGATGGTCTGTCGGTTCTTGCTTCTCCTTAGGTTAGGATAATATTTATCCTTGAGAGATTTGAAAAAAACTGCGTTAATAATAATGGTCTTGTTCACCACGGAGTCCAAGGGATAACTGGATGTATCCGATCATCTACAACATTTTTGTGAGTGGTTCTGGTTGTACTAGCTTCTTACTATTCAGGTTTAACTGCTAGCGCTATGTCAGTTATATCATTTATCTCACTGACATTACATCCTAGTGCGACTTTGCCCTGAAAGTTTGAATTTGTTACGGTCATTTTTTATTGCTTTTCAACCGTTCTACTTGAAATAGTAAAACCTTAATTATGAAGTATTTCAACGATAGAAAAGGTCGACTAACGCTTCAGGGTATCATCTACATTCCTGTTAATTTCAATTGGCACTTAGCAAGACATTGAAGTATTAAGGCGGACTGCTAATACCCTTACGACTGTAACTTTCATCATCCACTGTCATATTTCAAAAGGTTACTGTGCTCGATGACACCATCTTGAAACACCGATTTCGGTGGCTTGGACATGTTCTACGAATGTCGTCCCAGAGAATTCCACGTCGTGCATTGTTTGCCGACTCTGGGACTGATTGGAAGAAGCGGAGAGGTGGTCAGTGCATGACATGGTGTCGTGTCATGAAAGAAAGCTGTAAAGGACTGGCTTGTGTTGGTCCTTCACGACTCCCTGGTTGGGGTCTGAGAGATGGTGCTACACAGTGGCTAGAGACGTTATCAGATATGGCTCAGAATAGAAGCCAGTGGTGATCCTGCTGTAACCTTCGTTTACTTTCTTCATAAAAAGTGGTTATGTCTCCCTTAACTGAAAGATTTCTTCTGATTGTACCTTTCCGTTCCCTCATTATTACTACACTACCTTACACCAATCTCTTCGTTATTGTTCTGTTTTTTTTCCAACTCTCCTTACCTTTTTTTCTTTCTCTTCGAATTCTCATTGTTTTGTGTGGCGCATATATATATTGGCGCTCTCTCTTGTACCAATATTTATGTGTTCAAATAAATAAATAATACTGTGCTTGTTATAAAACTTTAAAGTATGAGTTTCTACTTCTTTAAAAGTGCTGGATCTTGTTTATGTGTTAAGAATTCTAAAATAGAACAAAACAATCATCGATCATTGACACGAGTCAATAATAATTATTGTTACTATTATTCAAAGTTTTTACTTCAATAGTTGTATACAATTTTTAAAAAAAAACTATAAAAAAAAAAAAAACAACAACTAATGAAACAGAATTGAATGAAATGAAAGTTTAGGATGAATTTTGGTTACTTAGTTAGTTCATTAGTTAAAGGTGAATAATTTTCTATTGATTTATTCTAAATCACATAGAAACTAATATGTTGATTTTAAACAACAACCCCCTCCAACCACCACCACCAAGGTCATTCTTTATTTCTTCAAAAGTTTAACGAAATAAAATGTCAATAGAAAATTAGAAAATTTTATCAACAACTATTTAGATATTAATGATGATTACAAGTTAGTCTATGAAAGTTACCTTATTTAAAAAGAAAAATAATAATCCCTAAAGAGTTGAACGTATATATGACATCATCAGTTTATATATGAAACAGAGGTGTGTTTATTTTGTTTATCTATCTTGTACTCCAAAGGTTGTTGTTGTTGTTGTCTTTTTCCTATGTCACTATGTATACAAGGTAAATGTTAAGTATTATTCTCAAAAGTTTACACTTACTTTTATAATTGTCACTTGTTTGTAATATTGCGTAATGAATTTTTCTATCTATCTCAGTTACTATCTAGTGTTTAAACATTTGAATTAAATATTGGATTTAAGTCTTACTGTTTCCACATTAGAATGCCCAGGTATATTCAACTGACGATTTGTAAATTGAGACGATATATATACGTTCTTAATTTCAAGTTTGATCGTTATGTAATAAGTTAATTGTTTCGTGGATTATTTTTTCCATGATTAAGTTGATTTAATGGTCGTAGGATATATTGTATTTATTGCCATACCAGAATACTTTAGATGAGGATTCAATGATGAGTGAAGCGGATGTCCTACTTATTTTAAGGGAGCCTTAAAATGAAATAGGTATTTAGTAGTAGTTATTCTCTGTTTTCAACAATATTCTTCAACTGACGACATGATTTCATAAAATTAGTCATTGGTCACATAGCATCTGGTACGAATATGTGTCGGTTAAAGTTGTTACATTTTGCATTGATAGAGTGACTGAACAAGTTAAAAAGATGATCAGCTAAAGAACTAAAATAATTTCAGTTAAAAGTATATATGAAAGAATACTGGAACTCAAAAAATCTACTCAGGGAGATAATGAATGTATGGATCTACACTATTGTGATCAACTCTGAATCATTTCATGCAATATCTTCAAATATTGAATAAAGTTATTGTATAAACCTTACTTTTTTAAACTATCCGTGATTTGATGGATTGATGTCACGTCTTATTTCGAAAGCCTATACCTTTCTAACTTTCTCCTACTTCATCCCCAACTTTTACGACATGACATCATATTAACTGATAATCGGACGATTAAAATCAATTTCGTAGTAACAGTAACTACATATATTGTTATTATTATTTTTCATATTTCTTTAAACAACAAAAAATCTAGTTTATATGTTTATATATTCCAAAGGAATTTGTCATTAACATTAAGCATTGTGTAAAGAGATGGTTTTTGTGTGTGTGTGTGTGTGTGTGTGTGTGTGTGTGTGTTAATTTTCTCTCTATTCAAGTTGTTTTAAAATAGAATAACCAAATAATTATGTGAATAGTACTAGTTTAATTGAATGATTTTTCAATGATAAGAAAAATTTCCAATGAATTTTTAATTTAAAACAAAACAAAGTTTTTGTTACTAGTTAACATTGATTGTATTCACTTATATTTCTAGGTGAATAATACATTTTTTAATGCACAATTAAATGTACAACAAATGAATTATCAACATGTTAGTGCACCTGGATCAACTGGTCAAATGCAAATACATTTTGCACAACAACAACCATCAACAACACAACATCCAATTCCACCACCATCATCATCTCATGAACATTTACGTTCAGTTCGACAATCAGATAACAATAATAATAATAATAATAGTAGTAGTACAATTCGTATGACAAATTCATCAAATGAATATAATTCAAACAATCATCCATTATTATACAATACTGATGGAGTTAATCATCATTCTCATCATCAACGTATTGTTGATTGTCCGTCAAAATCTGAAATTCCTGCAGTTATTCCGTCTAGTTCAGTAATTACTTCATCTGTTGTTTGTACACCTTTAGGATCTTCAGTTGTTGGCGGAGGTAATACTGGTTATGGTAATGCAAGTATTCAAATTACTCCTAGAACACCACATACAATTCAATATCTTCCAACTGTTGCTCCTCAAGTTTCTAACAATCAAGGACCTTCAGGTATATTACCTGGGCCAAATCAAATGCAAAGGTCTAATTCTGTACGTAGTTATCAATATATGCCATCTGATATAGATAGCAATAATAATAACACCTCACATGTTACAGATAACTCTATTCGTCATCCTACCTTTCAGTCAAATCATCAATCCTATGCTACTAATCAAAATATTCCTGGACAATTTTATAATTCAAATCAACACCATTATTCATCATCCTCACAATCGGTTATTCCACAAAATTATCCACCTAATCTTCAAGGTCAAAGTAAGCATTCTCAAATTACTGGTCAATTTACTGCTGGGGGAAGGCATAATGTTAATAACAGTAATAACAATAATAATAATAATAATAATAATAATTCAACATTTGGATGGAGTGATACAAGTTTCGAGTCAAATCCATTAGGTCCAAATTCATTGACAGCATCGTCAACTAACGAAACCAGTTTAAATAGTTTTAAATCTTCAAATTGTAATCATCAAAGTGAGTTTATATGTTTTTCATGTTATTATGAGTTCCTTTGAAAATATAATTTTTATGCTAAATCTATTTTCATAATCAATTCTATCTAATTCAATTAATTTTTATCGCCCTATGAAATTTGTTTCCTTTGCATCATAATAATAAACAGGTCAATTATGAAGGAGCCCTAAATGCTCTGGTACGGCCGAGAGTGGGACGAGTCAACTCTCGCACTCAAAATGCTCTCACATGACCACGCGTATATAACCTATGCAATGGAAGTCCTACTCACTGCCTTATCGCAACATATGTGTTGTTTACGGAATTTACAGAACGAAAAGCGAATGTTCGGCGCTTTAACCGGGTTGATGGACATGGAGAGTCCACCTAGGGGAGTTAGAAAACCCTGATTCCAAACCAACGGTGCACATGATCTCCAGTATCCTGAGGGAACAAATGGCGTATGAACCAATCGTAGGTCACCGGCTACCATGCGACTGCATCTCCTTACGATGCTCCACTGCCTTATGGGTCAGACCTTTAGGTCAAAGACTCCTTGTGTGGTCCCCTAAGAAAGCCACCTTCTTTGGTTTGGGTACTCAGTCAATATCACAGCTCACACACAAACCAAGTAAGATTTGTTTGGCGCATATATATTCGGTGCATCCTTATACCAATATCTATGTGTTCAAATAAAATAAATGAAGGACGAAAAGTGGACATCTCAATAATTAACTGAACTCAAAGTATTATAAAATTTGGTACATAGAAAAAGATAACTTACCGTATTTACACAAAATACAGTCAAGGAAAATTGTACAAACGAAAAAGTGAATAAGATAGTGATACTAGGACGAAACGGTCGTCCAGTGCTTCCAGGTTTTTCATGGTGGTCTAGCTTCAATTGACTCATGATTTCAACTATTGAAATATCAATTGTAGTAGAAAACATACAGGCCTGATGGTTATTGAATTGACATCTAATTCTTTTTTTTTCATCTGTAGCTTCATTCCAATTCACATACCATACATTGACAGTAGTGGTATTTTTCTGATATTATTATTATTATTGACTTTATTCAATATTATATTTTTTGTACAATACAGAATTCTTAGCACAAAGTATTTCAATAAATTTCCTTTTCTTATCTCTTGATCGATCCTGACGATAAATATTGAGCGATTGCCAGTTAGATGTTAGCAGTTCAGGAGTCGACATCTAAGCAATGTTTATTCTTTTCAATGCATATTGCATGTCAGCCATCACGATGTCTGTGATTGGGCTTTTTTTTTAAACTTATACAGCGAAATGTCGTAAACTTTTCATAAACGCAACTGAATAGGTTATGCAACTGATAAACATAATGATGTGTTGAAACAAACAAGAAAACAGATAACTTGTTGAAATATTCAGATGGAAGGGACAGGTAGTCCAGATATTCAAGTAGGCCGCCAAAGTTTTTTTAACGTCGTATCTAAACTCCACTGGTTACGGCTTTTAAGCATATAATTATCTCTACTGTATGATGAAGGTCATGGGTTCCATCACTCATGGAGCTGTGGATGTGAACTTTCAGTGAGTTCCATAGGCAGGGTGAAACAGCTATTCAATGCTTCCTAGTTTTCATTGTTTATCTTACCAAAATCAGTTCATAATGTAAAGCTTCGAATTCAACAGTCATCATCTTGTTTAAAAAATTAATATCTCTACTGTGAATCGGTTGTTCCCAAAGTCTTTGTTCCAACTTAATAGTATGCTAGTCAGCTTAGTGCATTGTGACTAGGGGGAGGGGTAGTGGTTTGTCCCATATGTCGTTATCCATAGAGATTTACAGTCCTTCATCAACGAATTTTTCTCTTACAAAATGTTATATTTGATATTAATGTTTTTAAAATACCTTATATTTTTTTTTAACCTTAGGTCAACCCATTGATAATCGTTTGGGTAGAAATATTAATCACCCAGTATTACGTGATGCTCAAATGAATTATTCAGCTTGTAACAATAATAATAGTAATAATAACAGTGATACATTATCAACATCTATGTCTACTAAGATGGATCCATCCACTGATATCATATCTCATCAAATGTTCGCAAATACATCCGATATGCCATCACTACAACAACGTGTTCATGTGAATCAGCACTCACAACAATATCTCCGTCAATCAACTGTCAACGATGGTGCTAAACCTCAATCCTACTCCTCATCATCTACACAACAACCACAACATCATCAAACAAGTCAAATTCATCAACAGTATTATCATCATCAACAACAACAAAATCATCAAATGATGATGTCTTCATCGTCCATGTGTGATTATTCCGGTAGTAATAATAGTGATTGGAGTTCTACGAATCAAGTACAGTTTTTAATGTCGAATTCTACGGTGAATTCTACAATGTATAGTAGTCATAGTAATAATATTGTAGATAATATATCTGTTAGTGGTGCTGTTGGTAGTATGATGGAAAATTCTACAAATATAGGACATACTACTAATGCTAATAGTAATAGTAGTAGCGCAACACCTACCACTAATAATAGTAATCATAAACGTCCATCAATGGTAAATCCTATGAATGGAGAGATGAAACATAATATTTCATTGAATTCCCATTCACAACATCATGCCTTGCCGCCTCATCCACAGCAATCTCAACAAATGATAATGGCCAACAATAATAATAATAACGGTAGTAATAATAATAGATCAAACTGGTATCCTCATCAATCGATTGGCAATCAAATGACGTTCAGTTCAATGTCATCATCATCATCAGCATCAACAAATGCAAGTCGAGAAATGTATTCCAGTCAAATGCATAATACTAATAATGGTAATAATGCTAACTTTTCATTAAACCCATTACCACCGGTTACTGGTGGTGGTCATCCATCGGATACATCATTAGGAACAATTGGTATGGTGGATAATACAAATAATGTTAATAATAATAATGGAAATAGAAGTATACTTAGACAATCACAAGATCCTTATGATAATTCATTACCTATATCTTCTATGTCATCATCATCATCAACATCTTCAGCACAGCCTTATTCATCATCAGTTGTTTGAAGAGAAAGGATAAAACAAACAATTATTATTGATCATTTAATTTGAAGAATCATACATTAAAATGAAGACTTCTACTAGAATAACAATAATGATGAATTTTGGATCTCATTCTTTTCTTTAATCAAAAATACATCTATCTATCTCTATATATACATATGTGCATATTATCTCATAATGAATAATAATGCTATCAACAAACTGTATTTGATTTGTTTCTTTTCTTTTTCTAAAACAAACAAAATCAACTTATAATTGAGAAGTAGTTGATTGGTGTATTCTCCATTCTCCTAGTTTTGTTACTTTCTCTCTCTTTCTCTCTGTGTGTGTTCTATCATGGTCATGATCTCTCTCTCACTCTCACTCACTCACTCACTCTCTCTTGATTGTTCGTTTCCAGTTCCCTCTTCTTTGTATATATATATATATCCATTTTTAACTGATATTGATCATGAATAAGATACATTTATGATTAAATGGTAACACAACTCATTTGTATTTAATACATACAATATGTTTTAATTAATAATAATAATAATTATTATTATTATTCATATAATTCTTTATTATGATGAGTGATGAGTTTTCATTCCTTAGTCTCTATCCGTTTTTATACTTTAACATGAACCCCTTATTTCATTAATGTATACCTTCATTTTTATTTCTTGACTTTGAATTTTAGTCTTACTCCTATTTCATTGTTATTGTCATCATTATCATTGTGTTTGTACTTTTTTTTAATGGGAGGGTGGAGGGTGTATAGGATGAGGCGATTTCTGATATTGATTTCTTTTGTTTACTTTACTTAGCACTCTGTTGAATATTGTTGTCTACGATTATTACTTTCCTTATTGATGTTGGTTAATGATTATATTAATGAGAAGAATGTAAAATTCTTATAGTATTTGTTAATTATACATGTATATCATCTCTCGCTCAGTTTATTACTAACTACCACATTGTTACTCTTTTCTCTTTCTCTCTCTCTCTCTCTTTATTTTCATAATTCCCCTAGTTACAAAATAAACTGATCTAATTAAAAGAAGTATTGTTTCTCTCCTAGTTCCAGTATTCATGTACGTGTATGTGTTTGTTTGTTGACGAAATGTTATTTGCCTTCTGAATTTAATGATTTCTATTCCTTTAATTTTTGTCTCATTACCTTTATAAGAATACTAAGGTAGAATGAAATCACATATTCCTTACATGTGTGTACATGTTAAAACTAGGATTATTATTATTATTATTATTATTATTATTATTATTATTATTATTATTATTATTATTATTGGTAATGTTGTCATTGTTTTATGCACAGTTACTGTATAATACTTATGATACACATGTGTGCGTATGTCTCTATCTCTTTCCCTCTATCCTTTTCTTTGATACCCAATTATATATATATATATATGGATTTATGATTCATTTATTCTTTGTCCTATTCTCCTCTCGCTTTTTTCTCTCTTTCTTGTATTATATCTTTAATCTATCTGTACTGTTGATTATGTAGAAATGAGAACGTATCGAATTGATCATTAATTGTTTTTTTTCATTTCATTTGTTTCAATTCGATTTATAGAGATAAATCAATAATTGAATGAATGAATTGATTAATTGATTGATTGATTGATTATTGTTGATTTCATTTGTTTACATAATCATTATTTTATCATGTTTAGAGTTTGTTGTTTAGTTTACTAACCATGGATACTTTTAATTTGAAGACATGCAAATATATATATACATACGTACACATACATACATACATACATACATGTTGGTTCATTTATACATTTAATACTCTATGAATTGTTTTATAAACATTCAGAACCTTTTTTCTTTACCATTGTAATGATATTCTTCATTATTATTATTCGTACAATTTTGGCGTAATTACATTCAAATGTTTACTTGTTGATATTAATTTCCCTTTTCTGAATCATTAAAAGTTGGCTAATTCTCCTTTCTGTTCTCTTAACATAAATGAACTCATTGTATGTATGTATAAAATATGATTGGAAATGTGTGTGTGTGTGTTTCAACACAAAAATACCAGTAATAGATAGGTACTTTGTATTTCTCTTATTCATTACAATGATTCTTATTCTTTCTTCTAATATTATAATAAGTAATATTGATGTTGTACACAAGCAAATGTGTTTGTGTACACTTGAATGAATGATGCAGCTGATCATTATCATCATTATCATCATCACTTTTTTTCTTATTCTCTGATTCGTAAATAGTTCAGTGTTACACATATTCACGGATTAACATAATCTTTCTTCAATTATAAAGAAGTCTAATGGATGGTTCCAATACACGCACACGATCTCTTATATCTATATTCTGTTGTTTTCATTTCCTCCACTTTTCTTGCATTCTATCACCTTTACATATTTATATATATATATACAAATACAATCCATTATCATATGCACATGCACACACACACACACACACACTTTTACTTCATTATCAATCTTGTTTTCATAAAATTTTGACAAGAGAGACAATTTTTCGTTATCACATTCTAATACCTGTATTATATAAGAAAAACAATTATAACATGATTTTGTTGTTTAATTTTTAACTTGCCACTGAATATAAATGACGGATGTTTTTTTTCTCTCTCTTTCTAGTTTTGTTTGTTTACCTTTTGTTTATTTAGTGAGGTTTTCTTTACACATAGTAGAATAATGATACAGTAGTACGGTCAAGGGTGGAGAGAGTTAGCTCTCCTTCTCGAAATGCTCTCATATGGTCACAAGTAATACAGTCACTGTCAGGGAAGTCTTATCCACTGTCTTCTCGTGCCACAGGTGTTGTTTACGAAATGAAGAGGAAGAAAAGTGAATGTCCGGCTCTTTAATACCGTTGGTGGATACGGAAGATCTACTTAGGAGAGTGAGAAAACTCTGATTCCAAATCAATCATTCACATGGGCTCCAATATTCTGATGGGACAAATGGCGTATGAACCTGTTGTTAGTCACTAGCTACCATGGGACTGCATGGTGTGATGTCGCTCCACTGTTTTGTGGATTAGACCTTTAGGTTGAAGGTTCCGAGTGTGCTCCCCTAAGAAGACCACCTTCTTCGGTTTGGGCACCCAGGTAGTATCCCCTCCTACGCACAAATCAAGTGACTTGTGTGACGCATATGTATTTAGTGCGCGCTTCGTACAAATATTTATGTGTTTAAATAAATAGAGAGGAGAGAAATCGAAAACTCGTGGTCTTAATAATCAAGTGTCTAGCCACTTGTCACTAGTTACTCATTCACCCCAAAGTTGAGGCCAGGTCTGTTGCATTGTGACACTATTTAAAGCATAACATGTTTATTAGCATAAATGGTATGAAGTTAGTTGACATCATGTATTAGCCTTAGCTGGGTACTGATTCAGCGACCTACGATCAACTACATAGTTCTTGCGTTCGATTCCTGATAAAGTTGTGGATATGTACTATTGAGGAGTCCCATAGTAGGAAAAAATACTTTTATAATGTTCTTCAGCTACTAATGGTTGTCTGACTGGGTTATTTTCATGATATAAACTACCTTTAAATATCGATGTTTTACAGTGCGTTCAGCTGACTAATCCTGAGTATGAGGGAACGCGTTCTAGACATTACCCAGAAACATGATTAAATTTGTCAAAACTGATAGTGAATATTTATCATTCTTATGGAAAAGCAGTATAAATGGAGTAGGAGTAAAAAGTAATCATTTAATTGTTCTTACCTCCATAATTTAACAGTAGTCTACAAATTACTTTAACCACATATGTTCAATCGCACAAAAGATTACAACTAATTCATAATTGTCAAAGTGTAGTGAACAAGAACACAAGTGAGGACAATCGAATGTATTTGGACATGAAATTACAGAACATCCTCAGATTTCATTGTTCTTGCATTTTCACATCAACTGCTTTCTATTCCCGTTTTTTCCTTCTCGATCTTCTACTGAAATATATTCTATTCCTGACTATCTTTATATACTACTTATGTGGGAATAAGTAGCTCACACCACAAAAGTAGCAAACTATGATGCTGTTAATCGTAATTCAACGAGATTAATTCATAAACAGTTCTGATCTATATGGAGTGTCACTATTTATGTCCACGTGAATACGTAGAAGTTGGTCGGTTTCTTTTAATAAATCTCGAATAACTTAGCCTGCGATTTCATTTGTGAATTCTTATCTGATAACACATAGTTTGGAAGTGAAAGATCAGTCCAGTTATTGAATTATTTAGCTTATACCCCAGTTCTGTGATTGACATACTAACAATTATTTCTTACAATTAAATGTCGTTTGTATATTGGTTTCTAAAATCATTCGATCGGGTCATTTTTGAGCAATCATGGCTCTCAATGCACTGATAACTTTTCTTAACATACAACTGATTAACTTTATCTATTCTAAGTATTCTGATTTACATAACTTCATAGGTAGCACAGCATATTTCGGTCTATAGATTGGTGGTAGCGAGGATTTCCGAATTAGGATGAAGATAAGAAACACTGTGATGCGTGGGTGAGAAGATAATGATTGGTTGTTTGCTTATTTAGACTTGTAGATAGTCTGACAGGCGTTAGATGAGTTATATATTCTCCTGTGTTTATTATTATTGTTATTGTTGTCGGTTTTTGATGTGGTAATATATTTACGTTCTAATCAGATTAATCACGTGTTCTTGATCTCAGTTGTGTTGAAGTCCTATAGAATAGACACTGAGAGGGAATCTAGTGTAGATATTCGTCTAAGGTAAATTAACGTCCCATTCATGTAGACGTGGAAATGCGAGCGTTATAACACATTGAATGATATCCGCTTCACGGGATTTCATCATCATACTCGTAAGGTTTGTCAGTATTTCCTACGACTAAACAGCTGATGTATCAGTGACATGCTATATATACATTAGCTACTAGGCATTCAGTACTATAAATCATGGGTTCAGTCAGTTAATAAGAACAATGCCTCATGAAACA